GCTGATAGGATTTTATGGTGAGCTGCATTCCATGCTAAGGTTCGCAGCACACAGAGTCTCCATTTTTATTATTTACTTTGTCATGTCTATCTTGTATTCCAGATAGATGTTGTATATTATTGTACTTCCTAGTAGAAGCTCATTCACTTGTGACACCAGGTTTTGGGATGTTCTAGATTTTGTTTGTGCTTTTGCTTAACATTGACACACTCTTACTTTAGATTTTATTTAGATTGTATGTATCCATGATTTTTAATGTATTAATTTCTTTATCTAATAAAATTCATAATTTCAAAGATAATAAAATGTATAACTAAGTTTATAGCTCATCGTTAGCTTGCCTAACAACGACATTGGGCGCCATCACGACCTATAGTGGTAATTGGGCCGTGACATTCAATCAACTGAATAAACTTATACAAGGTCTCGCAACCACAATAGGAGTCAAACAACACTGAAGTCAACTCCCGGTCAAACCTACGAACTCTCAAATTCTTCAAATTGCCAGCTTTCGACAAATAAAACTAAAACCTTCGACAAACACCCAAATTCAAGTCAAAACATATGTTCTGGTCCAAAATCACCATACTAACCTATTGAAACCATCAAATGCCAACTTCGATGTAGTTTACTCAAAAGTCAAACCTTTGTCAATTTATCCAACTTAAAGCTTCTAAATTGAGAATCACTCTATAAAATAAATTCTGGAAACCATCGAAAACCAAAACCAACCATGCATCCAAGTCATCATACGCTATATGAAGCCAGTCAAAGTCTCAAATCACAGTCTGAAATGCCATAACTCAAAATGACCGATTAAGTCATTATATTCTCCCCCACTTAAACATATGTTCGTTCTCGAACGTGTCAAGAGTCATTACAAAGTTTTCAAATCACTGTGTAAACTCATCATACACATACACATGGGTTATCTAATGTCACCTCAGTCCATCTAAGCCCAAGACTCCATCCTTACTAAAGATCCTTCCTACAACCTTGGTCCATATGCCCTTGAACCAAAACTCACTATCTGGAACTTCCCCCAAGATCCGGTTCTTCTTTACATATACTGTATCAATCCCCACACGCTTTATATATCCATAAGTATATTCGTAACATATAACCACACGATGTACTAAACAACTTATATACTCAAAATAATATATTTATACCATAATAGATACCCATTGCCAAACCCGGTACTGGTAATATATCTTGTATCAAATAAAACCTTGTTCCGTACCTTCACAACACATATAATAATGAAAGAGACTCGTAGAAACTCATAACCACTCATCAAATCAATGAGTCGTAGAGTGCTCTTGTCCGGAAAGAATCATTGCCAAATTCAAAGCTAACTAATGACTTTCTTCTCCAAACATACCTTATCCAAATCTGATTGCACTAATTCCAGGTCAAATAATATCATCAAACCCAGTACAAGCTGTTCGGCCGACATTTCACCCCAAATTCTACCTAGAACCACATACGACACATTCCATGCACCAAACAAGCAACAACTCGAATGTAACTAATAATTGAAAGAGAACCAAATACGAGAACTGTCCAATAGATACAACCACAAAAGTACAATGCTATGATTCCATTCCACAAGGGAGAAACAAGACACACAAAATAAGCACAATCAATCATATCCAATCTAACTATGCTATGGAGCGTAACCCGATCCAATCATATCGATCCACAAGCAATACCCATCGAGCAATAATGCTCACAATCAACAAACCCATATGTATCAACGGCAAACACACAATGTGCATGACCATAGCCGTTGAGAGACGGATAAAATAATATACCACAGAGATGCAAAGCATGAGTAAGGTCAAATAAGCAATTCAACATATCAAAAGCCATATCGCTCAAATATCGCCACAACGTCAAAATAGGACCACATCATGCGTGTAAATAGTCAAGTAGTCTCACAACCCATCATGCGTAAAAAAGTAACACATGGAACATATCAGGGCATGAATAAGATCAACTATAGCAGATGACACACCAATATCAATGGTTGTGCTGAGTAAGCAAATACAATCTCGTGTAGAATATACATTCCCACTAGGCCTACCAATATGCCGTCAAACTGATTCAAACCATTCTCAATAAATGAATAGCCTCCAAAAGGTACAAAGTGACCTATCCATAATACATACAATCAGTTGTCTAACCCTTGACACACTTTCACAATACGCAATCAAACGAAAAGTCTACCTCTAATAAGATCCAACCTCTAAGTTTCATGAATACAAGAATCTCCATACCCTATTCAAACTATTCCACCTAAATGAATGCCACATCATGCATACATACTCACCTTATGATAAATACTACCATAAACACTACATGTCGAGTAGAAAATATGGACATTAAGGATTACCAACCACGTGGGTTCTATAGTACCAGTCAAGCATCCGCATATCATTACACAATGCATCTACTGCAACATACATCCTCCTCAAGCGATACAAGATAGTGCTTGTATCCTCCAAACATATAAAATTGCCCATGTTGTCTAGAACTCATGACCTTCCTTTCGAACTCAACTGCAACCTTGTCCATTTAATCTTAATCCCACACGGCACACCACATCTATCATGCTACAGATTAAAATACGAGAATCCAATTATTAACTCTGAATAAAAAGTAGGATAAAACTTCCATCAATCAGGAACCTTTCACTTAACTCAGCCCAGGAGAACATCGCAACATGCAACAAAGCTTCTACTCACGTAGAAAACATCAGTCTCAAGTCGTGGTCAAGATCACCATAACTCTTCGTAAGCCCCTTTTCACAGAACCAAGCCACTAGAACTAAATCCCTCTAAATCAATGAAGTCACGCAGATTGCTAAACCCAAAGTATTGCTTCAGCACTTGTAAAGCTCTATCATACCAAAAGAACCAATCATTTCTACTACTACGTTGATCCAAATCACTGCTAAGCTGACCCAACTTATTCAGATTCCTCTTAAATTGCCTTTAAGGTAAGATTTCTCTTTCTCAGCACATAGTGGGCCTAAATTAAAACTTATCCAAGTGATGCCAATATGAACCACATCATCTTAAGACTCGTAAACCACTTTATTCTGTCTTTGCACCCAATAGTACCTCAAACCAAAATTCCCGCTCTGAAGATACTTCCTATGAATTCGATGTTGTTTCTTGCATTTTTATAATATTGTAAAATCTATAATGATATGGAAATACCATAAGCCTCGGTACCATCCAAGGTAGATGTCAAGTCATAAACATACACAAATTCAAGAACCCTAAAATACCACATATGAATCCTGAACCGATTAGACCCTTCGGGAGAGTTACCTACACTGTCCTAGTCCTGAATACATAACCAGTCATACCGATGAGTAGAGCTCTGTTAGCACATGAATACACCTAAAAGAAACAACCGAGAGAAGCCTTTCTCCTTTCACACCCCATCCACAATGAATATAAAACCTGGATCATTTCAAGATGTCCATATACCCATAAAGTATAGTACACCATGTATCCAGACAATTCCTTGCTCGAGTCATCCCCAAAGTCATCCTCTTCAAGTCATAATAAATCCAAAAACGTCCCTTAGTCTACAAACTAATATAAAACATGACCATTTTACTCGATCATCTATAATAGACTCCTCCACTTGTCTCAAAGCCACATAACACATCATCCGATAACCCACATTATTCTTCCTTCATAATTTCCATGATCTCACACTTTCGTCCAACCGAGTCTCCTCATAAGCTCATGCTACACCAGTCACCCGACCGTCCAAGTCATCCGTCGGGTGCATACTCATCCTCATAACAGTCATACCAACTTCCTTGAGTAATCCAAACTCTAATTGTAGGACATGTATTCCATTGGATAGAAGAGAAAATCTTCATAGAAACCTCATAAGAATCACACATCCTCAAACCCTCCCGCAGGAGATAACCCATCTGCTTTGCCTAAACTGACATCTCCCTATGACCCTACCATGGTCACAACCACTATGCAAATAATTAATCTTCCTGAGTCTATACTCATCAACAAGATATAAGCATCTACTTCATTCCACAAATGAACAACTGAAAGATCCATCAACACACTCACAATTCAAAACTCCATTGCACATCAAGATGATATTCAAGCATCCGTAGCCCTTTGCATCCCCAACAAATCCTTCTCGTCACATTAATACTACCTAAACGTAGTCCTCAATCACATAATACTCATCATATAGCTATCTTTCTAGTCACCGAGCCAACGATCCCACTCCTAGGGGCACTACTAGACATAAGAGTCCAAAGGCACACACTCACACAACTGAATCTGTCAAGCCCAAGTTGTGGCCTAGACCTGGGCTCAAGTCCTGCAGACTTACCTACCTTCACAACAAAAAAAACACATCTCACATCTCACCCACGATATCACAAGTCGTTGGTGCACAGCTGATACCGAGTGCTCAACAACACATACTATTGAATGGAAATAAATTTAAGATATAAGCTTCAAGCTGAATCAATGCCGCATGATAAGGAAAAAAAAAAGAAAAAGTTTCCTAGATGCCCTATAGGCTCTCGAAGATAAGTATGGACATTATCATACCGATTCGCAAGACTCTACTAGACATTTGCTTATAACTCGTGAAACGTATGAACCTAAAGCTCTAATAAAAACTTGTCACGACCCAAAATTCCATCAAGACATGATGGCGCCTAAACCAGCCTGCTAGGTAATTGTGACGACCCAAAACCACCATTGAGCTGTGATGGCGCCTAACTCACTTGCTAGGCAAGCCAATCATAACAAAAGTGAAATAGATAACAAAACTAACGGGAATAGTACAAGTCTAAAACCAAATTCCATAAATAAATTGCGTCAATACATAAAATCTACTTAGAACTGGTAATACAAAGTCACGAGCTCTAAAATAGAAGTACAAGTCTGGAAATATAAAATGAAGATATTGTCTGAATAGTAACAACAAAAATAGAAATGGAGAGAGAAGCCAAAGACTACAGTCGATATACAGCTCTACCTCACCTCTCGGCAACTCACAACAATAATAACAGTGGCTTACAGCTCGGTCCAATAGCTGAATCTGCACAATTAAGTGCAGTGTATAGCATGAGAACCACCGACCCCATGTACTCAGCAAGTATCATAACTAGCCTCTACGAGGTAATAGAGGCAAGAATTATATGATACTCGCTAATAACCTGCTTAGGTCATGAACTTCACAAGTACATAACAATAATATGATCAAATCATAAAACATAGATAACGTCACCTTGGTGTACAAGAGATAAAGTGCCAAGCCCTATATCAATTAACAAACCAACATGTAGAGAAGATATACAGCCATTATCAAGTCTCGGTGCACAGGTAGATATATAGAGAAGATATGTACCGTGCTCTCACTAATCAAACCAAGCAGCATATAAAGAAGATATGCACAACAAGGCATGTATACATTCCAGATCTAGCATATAGAGAAGATATGTGAATAAAACATGTATACATCCAAGGAAAATTGCAAGTAGAGAAGAAATGATGTAACCAAACACTGATAAGTTTTCCTCATGCCACGAGTACACCATCAAGAGAGAAACATGAGAGGGTGACCCTAGGGGGATTGATCCTTTTCCACATACTATGTGAACAACTCACTTGCCATATATAATAACTGCAAGAACCACTCTCATGCTATCATAACTCAAATATGCATGGACCACTCACGTGCTATTAAGCCAGTCCATACCACACAAAAAGCGTATACAAGAATACATGTTCATGAACAATGAATGTCAAATTACATACTTATGGACAGATACAAGTGACTTGCTGTCACGACCCAAACCGATGGGCCGCGACGGGTGCCCAATCCTACATGTCGAACATTCTTAAGCATGCGTTTAAGATATAAACATGAATAGTGTACGTGAGGGAAACCTGTCCAAAAGACATATATACATAAACATGCGGAATACAGTGGGGCGAGCCAGCAAGGTTGCTATAGACAACTATATACCCAAAACTGAAAACCGACAAGGCCACATACTATCCAACTATACATAACTGTCTATAGACCTCTAATAGAAATACAACTGCACAAAGACGGGACTGAGCCACATCATACCCATATATATATATATATATATACAAGCATATCGTACCAATATCAAAAGCAGCTCCGGATCAAGTGGAGCACGCCAACTCTCGCTGATCAAGGATCTTAAGAAGGGGGACCATCGACTTGCCTACCTGCACCTGCGGGCATGAAACGCAGGCCCCGGGAAATAGGGCGTGAGTATGAATAATGTATTGAGTATGTAAGGCATGAAAATCCGTACATAAAGACATAGATAAAACATGGAATAAAGAGATCCATCTGTAAGTCGGAATAACTTTGTAAATTCTGAAACATTTATAATGTCATGCACGTGCATATAAATGTTGTGTCATGTATAGGTATAGGTGTACATAACATCATCAAGCCTCTGTGGGCATCCCATCATATCGTCTCGGCCACCGTGGGCAACATCATCAACATATACCAACTGTTCAGGTGGCGGTGCGTATATAACGCCATAACCTTTTTCCCATATCCCATATATATATATATATATATATATATATATATATATATATATATATATATCTCCACAGATTTAATAGATAATTTCTTTGGAGATGCATGTTCACAATAGGAATGAGCAACTCTCCCTTGCTAGCTGCTTACTCGTGCTGATATCTATCTTTCTTTTTCAATGTTCTACTACTCAAGTCATTCCAATGTCAATATTGTTCATGTTCCTGTCCGTATTCTATATTTGTTCCATATACTAAATTAATTATCGTCCTTCTTTCCCTCCTTTCTTTTCCTTCAATTCATATTCCAATACGACCTTAGAAGAAATTAATTACTATGATAGTCTTGGGGAGAATTTTAGTAGAAATGGACCATCAAGCTGATATTAATGAGATTTTGCTCTTACCACTATCACACGATCGAGCTCTTTTATATCTTTCATCACAAACTAAAAAAGATTTTATGTTGTGTGTATTTTTATTACGTATGTAAGGTAGCATTACAAATAAAAATGTACACAAAATAAAATCTTTATCGATGTCCTTTCTCTCTCTTTTTATTTGGGCTCCTCTTTCGCCTTAATTTTCTGCTTTCTTCTTGTTATATATACCAGCTGCTATTCTGGAACATCGAAAGTTGCTGGTATTGGGTTAAACTGCTTCATTGCTAGCTAGTAGAATTTCCTCATAGATACTTATACACGGTAACAATTCTAATTTTTGGCGAGAGGCGGCGGGGCTGAGAAGGGTTAACTTTCTACTTGGTGGTACAACTTTTGATATTTCCTACGTAATTGTAGAAACATAATTAAGTATACAAAAATATTTTTCCTAAACGTTTAAATGAGATGGTCACATAATTTAATAGGGTATAAAAACAAGGTAAAATCTTGAATTCAATTTGTATCATATATCACTTATTATAAAAAAAAATGTTATTGTACGTGTTAGTTCACTAAAAAAATGTTACGACCCGGAATTCCCTCAAGACTGTGATGGCGCCTAACATTTCACTTGCTAGGCAAGCCAACTTTAGTTGTATCTATTAACCATTTTAATAATTGGTCAAATTAATGACAAGAATGAAACTGAATAATCTGCAATAAGGAAATAAGCTAATAAGTGATAAAATCCGAATACAAACTTTGAAACTGGTGTCACGAATACGTGAGCGTCTAAGATTTTACAGATAGTGGTCTGAAATAAATACAACTGTCTGAATCAAAGTAAACAGCTAAAGAAAATAGAAGGGAACTTTAGGGATGTGGACGCAGTGCAGCTATACCTCAAGTCTCTTCTGGGTGGCTGGATCCGAGCAAGTCTACTGAGCGTCGTTGGGACCAACTCTGGTATCTGCACAAGAAGTGCAGAGTGTAGTATGCGTACAACCGGCCCCATGTACTCTGTAAGTGTCGAGTCAAACCTCGACGATATAGTGACGAGGCTAAGGCGGGTCACCTACAATGACATGTTCACAATAATAATAATAATAATAATAATAATAATAATAATAATAATAATAATAATAATAATAATAATAATAATAATAATAATAATAATAATAATAATAA